AGGATCTGGGTCTGTCCACGGTGGACCGGTCTCTGCTGGAGGATCTGGGTCTGTCCACGGTGGACCGGTCTCTGCTGGAGGATCTGGGTCTGTCCACGGTGGACCGGTCTCTGCTGGAGGGTCTGGGTCTGTCCACGGTGGACCGGTCTCTGCTGGAGGGTCTGGGTCTGTCCACGGTGGACCGGTCTCTGCTGGAGGGTCTGGGTCTGTCCACGGTGGACCGGTCTCTGCTGGAGGATCTGGGTGGCTCCGATGACGAGCATTAAGAATAACTCTATAGAAACAGACCATCTTCTCTCTGATGGAGGTCTGATAGAGGATCAGGACTACACAGACTGGTTCAGAACCAGTTAAAAGCTCCTCACAATAACTTTAAGTACAGTTGAACCTCTTTCATAATGTTTAAAAGTAGGTGCGTTTTTCCTTTTCTTTACTATCGGCTGACGAGTGTCGCAAATGATTGACTCGATTATTGTCTTATATTCTGAACATGCCGCTCACATGACTCGTGTCATATTAGGAATAATAGTGGAATATTAGTGTTCATGTAAACGTAGTCACTATGATCTCTCCATCGATAATGAACTCATCGGTAACTCTACTCTGTTGAGATATCTTCCTCTATCTGCAGACACAATCAGTGTGCAGCACAGAGCGGTTTGATTCTCCGGCTACAGAAGGAAGAAGCACATGTTGCCGTACAGGATAACGGTAAACAGAGTGAGGATGGGAGAGCCGGGTTACATGACCGATCAACAGAGGTACAGAGGTAAGTGGGTGTCCGGATGTCATGGTTATTATTATTAAGAGTCTATAATATGAGAACCACTTACTGCTAGATTTTCCATTTGCTAAGCAAGAAGGAGAGCAGGTCACACACAGACACACACACACACACACACACACACACACACACACACACACACACACACAAACAAACAAAACAGAAGGAGAGAAAGATCAAGAATTAGTGCGCTTTAACATGGCAGCTGACACACAGTGACCTGACGGGCTAAAGAGCCGAGGTTCGTCATCTTCACCTGGTACAGGTGAGGGACCTTTATTCTGAAGGGCTGAATAACAGGATGTGTGAGGGGGGGGGGGGAAGAGAGAAGACGTGTTGGAGGCTACAGGAAGGAGAAAGTGCTTCTGTGTCTGAAAGCATCAGTTTTAACCTAAAGGCCTTTACACACCGACTAATACGTGCGTCAGTATATTTCTATAACGGTTGTATTTGTCATGAATACTTTCCTCCAAACGCTAATATTACGGTAAAAAAGTAAGTTTTTCCGGGAAAGGGTCGATTTTTCTGAGCTTCCACCCTGCAAATAAAAACATCCCATCACGTTGTGTGGAACTTATTTAAAAACTTACACTATGGCGAACAACAACACAACAAACTTTATTACTCCTTTCACCCTCAACAAAGGCAGTGAAACCCAAGCCGATGCTTCGTGTGTTAAAGCTGCATTCTCTCTAGTGTCCACCAGGG